CCCCAGCCCCAGGGATCCCATAGGGAAGGGATCTGCCGCTCCCCGGGGACACAGGTTTGGGGAAATGGCAGCTTGAACCAAGGGGGAGCTGGGGGACAGGGGCCTCCCGCACAGCCCCTGTCTGCCCCCTCTGGACGGATCCAGGGGAGGCCGATGCTGAGGCCGCAAGGCAGGAAAGGAGCCAGATCCCAGGGATCCGAGGCAGGAGAGGGGGCAGATCCCAGGGAGGCAGATCCTGGGCATCCAGAGCAGAAGGGGGCAGAGCCCGGGGATCCCAGCGGGGGCTAATGGGGATCCAGTGCATGGGGAGGGAGAGATACCGGCGGGGGGCAGATCTCAGGAATCCAGTGGGCAGCTCCCAGGGATGCAGAGCAGGAGAGGGGACAGATCCTGGGGATACTGCAGGAGCAGATCCCAAGAATCCCAGCAGGCTGATCCTGGGGATCCGGAGCAGGAAAGGGGGCAGACCCCAGGAATCCAGGCAATAGATCCCATGGGTACCTGCAGAGCAGACCCAGGGATCTAGGAGGGCAGATCCTGGGGGTCCCAGCAGGGCAATCCCAGGGGTCTAGAAGACAAAGACAGTCAGATTCTGGGGATCTAAGGGGGCAGATCCCAAACGTTCCATGAGGCTGATCCCAGGGATCCAAATGAAGAAAGGGAGGCCGATCCTGAGTATCCAAGCAACAAATCCCATGGGTCCCATGAGGCCAATCCCGGGGATCCAGAGCAGGAAAGGGGGCAGACGCGGCGATCCGGGGGTGCAGCCCCCTGCAATGCAGTGGGGGGGCTGTGCAATGCAGTGTGGGGGTCTGCAGTGCAGGGGCTGTGCAATTCAGGGGCGATGCAATGCAGTGGGGGGGCTGTGCAATGCAGTGTGGGGGTCTGCAGTGCAGGGGCTGTGCAATTCAGGGGCGATGCAATGCAGTGGGGGGGCTGTGCAATGCAGTGTGGGGGTCTGCAGTGCAGGGGCTGTGCAATTCAGGGGCGATGCAATGCAGTGGGGGGGCTGTGCAATGCAGTGTGGGGGTCTGCAGTGCAGGGGCTGTGCAATTCAGGGGCGATGCAATGCAGTGGGGGGGCTGTGCAATGCAGTGTGGGGGTCTGCAGTGCAGGGGCTGTGCAATTCAGGGGCGATGCAATGCAGTGGGGGGGCTGTGCAATGCAGTGTGGGGGTCTGCAGTGCAGGGGCTGTGCAATTCAGGGGCGATGCAATGCAGTGGGGGGGCTGTGCAATGCAGTGTGGGGGTCTGCAGTGCAGGGGCTGTGCAATTCAGGGGCGATGCAATGCAGTGGGGGGGCTGTGCAATGCAGTGTGGGGGTCTGCAGTGCAGGGGCTGTGCAATTCAGGGGCGATGCAATGCAGTGGGGGGGCTGTGCAATGCAGTGTGGGGGTCTGCAGTGCAGGGGCTGTGCAATTCAGGGGCGATGCAATGCAGTGGGGGGGCTGTGCAATGCAGTGTGGGGGTCTGCAGTGCAGGGGCTGTGCAATTCAGGGGCGATGCAATGCAGTGGGGGGGCTGTGCAATGCAGTGTGGGGGTCTGCAGTGCAGGGGCTGTGCAATTCAGGGGCGATGCAATGCAGTGGGGGGGCTGTGCAATGCAGTGTGGGGGTCTGCAGTGCAGGGGCTGTGCAATTCAGGGGCGATGCAATGCAGTGGGGGGGCTGTGCAATGCAGTGTGGGGGTCTGCAGTGCAGGGGCTGTGCAATTCAGGGGCGATGCAATGCAGTGGGGGGGCTGTGCAATGCAGGGGCTGTGCAATGCAGTGTGGAGCAGTGCAATGCAGTGCAGGGGCACGATACAGCGCAGGTTCGGTGCAATGCAGTGCAGGGGTCTGTGATGCAGTGCAGGGGGTTATAATGCAGTGCAAGGGGGTACAATGCAGTTTGGGGCTGTACGATGCAACATCAGGAGTGTGGGGCGTGAACTAGCAGGTGCTAAATGCAGTGCCGCAGTGACCTGCTACCGGTGCACAGTGCTGTGAGTGCACAGTGCAATGCTACGGGTGTGCAGCACGGGGCTGGCAGTGTGCAATACAGCACAGTGCTGAGGCGTGCAGTGTTGGGGATGGAGCACTGCCGTGATGGGGAGCAGGCAGTGCACTGCTAGGGTATGCAGCACAGTGCTGGGGGTGCCCAATGCAAGGCTGGAATGTGCAGTGCAGCACGGTAGGGCCAGGATGGGCCATGCAGTGCAGCGCGGTGCAGTGCAGCTCAGTCCAGCTCCAGCCACCCCAGCCTCTGGGCCCAGGCTGCACCGCAGGTCTCCAGTCTCCCCTCGGAACATCCCGTGCAGCATCCAGGACCTGTGGCCAGGCGGGCAGGTCCCGCAGCAGCGCAGCCTTCCCCTCCCCGCACAGCCAGGGCAATCGTCTCAGGCTCCAGCACCGCAGGACAGAGCCCAGGCAGCCACTTCCCTGAGCAAACACAGCCCTGGCAAGGCCGGCGCGATCATTGAAGCCCATTCGGGCTAGGACGGGAGCGGGCACAAGGCCAGGTCCCTTCTCAGAGGCGCACACAGAGCCGGCATCCCACAAACCAGCTTTATTCCAAAGCCCTGGCATAGGGGAGCCCGTGGCCCCTCCAAGCCCGGGCACTGACACAGCACCAGCCCGCAGTGGGGGGACAGCAGCTCCCTCTTTTCCTGGGGACTCGCAGTTGGGCCCTCCAGCTGCACAGTGAGACCGGGAGTGCTGCCTTCCCCCTGCCAGGCACAGGGACACGGATCCAGCTGGAAAAGGGGGAAAGAG